GAAAATGCTGAGTCACTGGTTGCTATGGGAACCACACCATCACAGATAAGCGTTCAAGCCTCATGCAGGCAGGAAATTGTGCTTTAATGAAGCAGTTGATGCTTTCATCTTCAAAACACGACCAAAACTAGATAAATGTGATCAGCTCTTTGAACCGCTGCACAATGACATCACCAAACATCTACCGGACCCTTTAAGCTGTTCAGCCAATCATGCTGAAGCAGCCCGTCTGCTCTCAGCGTGAGCCTGGAGCACACTGCAGCCGTCTTACCAGTCCAGCTCGGCTCGGGCGTCCGCCCACAGAGGAGGCCACCGAGCTGACTGAACTGATGGAGGAGCTGCTGGGGCTGTGGGCCAGAGAGGACACCCCCATGGCAACCCGTTTGCTCTTCTTGGCCTTGGCCGGGCTGGTGGAGGGAAAGCCGATGCGGATCACCTTGTGGATGGGTGCAAAGAGGCCGAACTTTGGAAGGCACTGGAAGTATCTGCAGGAAAGAGGAGAGCGGGACATTTGTTAGTTTGATAGCAGAGCAGCAATCTCTATACCTTTACATCCTGCCAACATTTCCTTCAATTTTTTCTTTCAGATGGGGGTGCTGATGTAGGTACCACATCTGCTCGGGGCCCCGCCCCTTCTTATGACGTCATCTTATCGGACAAACTGTATCGCACCTGTTTCTTAAGTATCGGATCTCTTCTGGAGTCTCAACATATTTATTAGCCATATTTGCTATTATTTGACGTTTCATTGGCGATCTAAAGCAGCCAAAGGTAGAAAACAATCTTGAGTTTAAAATCTAAAATTATAAAAGCTTACAATGAAAGTTTGATTTTTCAGTTTAAGTTATGTGTTTAGTAATTATTTATTAGTATAAATGTTTTATTGTGCATTATTGTTATGATGGTACAGGATAGGCAAAAATAAGACTATTCCTTTTTCGGTTGCTGGATTCTTTTGTAAAAAATATAACTGAATTTTTTGTTTTTAAAGTGAAATAAAGTAATCATTCATTCATTCATTCATTCATTCAAGATCGATACGAGGATCTAAAAGATTGATATTATATTGCAAAAAAGATTTTTTTTCCACTCCTAATTGTGCACCATCACTGGCATGCGCAGTACAGCGTGAGCATACCTTGTACCAGCAACTGCTCCGTCGTTCTTTCCCAGGGGCTCATCCAGCTCCACTCCACACCATTCCCCCTTAGCGAAGTCAGTTTCCCCCATGTATCGGATCACGCCCATCTTAGAGCCTCCCACCTGCAAACAACAAAGACTGATCAAAATCTGCCTGAAAAGGGCTGATGAAAATGAAAAAGAGAGATCATATCTCT